GGACTACAAGTCCTTGAAGCGCCAGAACAACGAGCTCTTTAAGGCTTGCGAGGAAGCCGGGAGCTTCGCATCTTTGGAGACGTTGATCATGGACCTGAGAGGTCAATTTGGTGGCCAGGCTGCACTTTGGGAAGTGGTGACCACTTCGGGATGTTTGCTTACGGAGGTTCCGTATGGGACCAGTGGTCTGTCCCTGGCTACCTTTGTGTGTGGGTTGTGCCAGAAGGGTGCAACACCTCTGGTGTTGGTTGGAGATGATCCTGATATCAGTGTTCGCAGGATGATGGATTTGTTTTCAATGCTGCCAATGATTGGAGCTGTGATTTGTGTCGAGAGCTCGGCGCAAAAGGATCAGCATCCTGGATGGGTGAGGAGTGGCAGAGAACGGATTGCCTGCCACTGAATGTTGTGTGCAACGGCATCCGCTGGGTTGCGGACTTGATGTGCCAAACGGTGGCAAACAAGGACCCATATGGTGTGTTGCCACAATGGGCCTTTTGGATTTACTCCAATTACAAAGCAGTCCAGTCTGCTTTGACAGGACCAACCAGAGCTTTGATGACATGCGAGGAGACACGTCCTGTGTTGAGCTGGGAGTGCAATTGCCAGTGGCACAGCACCAATGCTTACGTGTTGAAGCATAAGGTGTACTTACCTGTGCATCTTTTGGTGAGTGTGATCTCGCATGTGCGGGTCCACTTGGATGGTCTGAAAGAGGAGATGCTTCAGTTGGAGGCATTGGTTACCAAGGAAGTGAAGCGACAGCAGCTTCAGCAGCAGCAGGAGCTCAAGCGGAAGGCTGATGAGCAGGAGAAAGATGAAGAGGCTAAGAAGCCTAGGGCCTAGGGCCTAGGGTTGAGGAGCCTGCTGTGCAAGTTGCTGCTTCAGCAAGTGGTGGTTTGCCTCAGTTTGCCTTGTCGGAAGAGGCATTTCGTCGTATTGCAGAGATGGTGACTCAGAATCTTCTGCAGGCGATGCCTATGTTGGGGCAGCCTCCTCCTGGGCCTCCTACTGTGCCTGCTCCTGTGCCTGCTCCTGTGCCTGCTCCTGTGGTGGCACCTGAGAGTGCACCAACGAGTGATCAATCAGGTGTTATGGCTGAACGCCAGGAGGAGCTTGGGGATATGCAGGCAGCGGCCCGTGAGAGGCGTGTTGCCCAGGTTGCTGAAGGTTTGAAGAGGGCTGATGAGCCTGGGGATTCAGGAAAGGGATCTGAGTGAAGCTATGGAGAATCTAGATGATCTCCTGGAGATGGTTGTGGAAACCTTTCAGGTTTTCTGCAGCCATTTTAAGCCATGGCATTCGGTGCCGCAATGGCTCTTTTGTCTGCGCGGAGGTGCAATCAATGCATGAGTGTCTGCCTGAACAAACCTTTTAGTTTTCTGGAGAAGCTGGGATGCAGTCTGGAACTGGAGCTTAGCAACGCTATGCTCACTGGAGCTCGAAGTTTTCGACACTGGCTGAACAGTTTTCGTGGTCCCTTCGGACCCCTTTGAGTCAGGGACCCTGGTGTTTTTCTGCCCTGACGCAACGGCGCTTTTGAGCGAGGTCTTGAAGGAGAACTGAGTGTTTCTGACCGCCTCGCAGTAATTAGTTTGACACGTGTTTTCACCACGATCTGAGTTCTCTCAGAGTTTGCACGCTTTTTGATCAAAGATCTGGTTTTTGTGTTTTGTGTCTGTGCTTTGAGTGGCGAGTACGCACCAAGGGAATGTGGCCTGGGCATCCCCCTAGTGCAGAAGGGCCAATTTGTTCTTTCGAAGATCTTTGAGGAGGCCCTCAGCAAAATGCGGGGGGTGTAAGATCATGCGCGTTAGTCGCTTGTGAAAAGTACTTCTGTTTGTGAGTTGTTTTGCTTCGGGAACGGTTTCAAGGTTCGGTTGGGAATCTTGATGATCCCAAGGTTTAGGAAACCTTCCTTTGTTGTTTGGAAAGTACATTTGAGAATCTTGACGATCTCAAAGTGTACTTGCTTTTGTAGAATGTAGAAGCCACGAGGACTCCTTGAAGGATCTTAAGCTTCATGTTTAAATCCCACAAGATTTACTCCGTAAATCTTGGTGTGGTGAATGCCCAATACGCTAATTCGTTTGTTTTAGTTGGTTTTCACACCTTAGTGTGAACTCCGACGCACTCCGCGAACGTTTGGCTCAAGCTGCGTGAAAAGAAGACTTGCAGCTGTCCGCTGTGTTTAGAAGGGGCTTTCCGAGGGAAAAGGTCCAGTAGGGACCTTAAGTTTTTCACGACTCCACTCTGCGGATCGCTGAAGTTCGAGTTACGCATGCAGGTTCAGGTTTGGGGTTTAACCCGAATCCAAAACCTGGTTGAGGTCAGTTGCTCCAGCGTGAGGTTCGGGTTGGAGTATTCGAAGGTGGCAACCTGGATTCACCTTTTCCCAACGCTCCTACTCAACATTCGATGCTCGGTTTCCTGAAGGTGCAGTAGGAAAAAACGGTTTTTGCCATTATCGTTCCAATGGCGCGTGTGGACTCACTGGTACAGCGTTGTCTGTGTTTAGACGCCAATAGAACAGCAGCATCTGACAAAACACGTGGTTCCGCAGTCTATTTGCAAGTCGAACTAGCCATGCCAATGCGAAACGGAAAGCACATTGGCTTCATTGCATTGCGGGTTCTGATTTTGTCTGTCATTGGATCTTGCTGGTCTGGAACCCTCTGGCTCTTTTAGCAGGCCTTTCCAGGTCAAACCGATCGTCCGTCCCACTGGGGCGGGACGTGCCCTCGAAAAGCCACCTCAGCGGACTCCAAAGCGTCTGTCGGAACAGCTTATGTCAGCCTGTGTTTGCACACGCTCATGAAAAAATGAGACTGGACCCGAAGTGTTTGTTTGTTTGCACAGATTCTGTTTTCTAAAAATGGTTGTACTTTCCTAAGTTTCCCTGCATTTCTCATAGTGTTTTGTTTTCGGTGTCTGTTTCTGTGGCTTTCTTGGTTTGGTGGATTTCCACATGGCAAGTTTCTGTTGCGAGGCGAGCCATGGAAGACACAGGAAGGCTTGGCAAGTTTGCTGTTCAAATTTCTATGCTGCCCACGAGCCCGCTTCCGACCGAGAACTTGTCCAGATTTTTGCCGAATATTGTGTGGCTTTGCTGTCTTGTGTGCTGGAGAAGAGTTTTGATTTCTTGGTTTACAAAACACAGTGTTGTTCCTTTTTTTCTACTCGAAGCGGCTGGACAGGAGAGAAGGTAATGAATTCTGGTTTAGTTGTTAACCCGACCCAATGATTGGATTAGAGCGGACCCAGGATTCGGTTCGGGTTAACCAACCCTGACACACAGTCCCGCGGTTGGGGTTGGAGTTCGGAAATCCAAGCCCACTCTTGGACCCAGAGACTCGGTTCACCCGGGTTGGTTTCGCACGGGTTCACGTTAACCCCAACTGACCCCAACTCAACCGGTTCGGGTTCGGGTTAACCCCAATCGACAACCCGCAGACCAGGGGTTCCGACGTTGGGCGTGCCTTTCAAAACCACCCCGGACGCACGTTGACTTTCAATACCACTGCAGATGCATGTGCGAAGTCTTGACTTCAACAGCACGTTGCCTTTCGAAGCTACTCCACATAAAAGGAAAGGTTGACTTTCGACTGCACTTCCAGAGGCACGTCCTGCTGCTTGCAGATTCTTTTATTAAACTGCTTCGACGGAAGCTCTGCCACAGAGTCCACTCACGCAAAGAAGACCGCAATTGCAGCGATTTTGTGCCACTTGTTTGCAGGCTCGTCGTTTCTCTCTTGCAATTGCCGCGTGAGAAGAGTGCAGTCCGGGAATGTGAAGGTTTCATGTTGCACCTGTCAACAACATTGGAAAGCTTGAGTACAGTTGGTGTTGTGTGAAAGTTTTTAGGTTTGCTAAAAATTTTTGGTATGTTCCACATACAAATCGGAGTAAGTAAAGTTTTCTTCCGCCCGTTCTTCCCTTGATTTCTCCTCCTCAACTCTTCGTGGTGTGCCTGATCCACGACCATGTGATGCGGCCGGACTCGTCAATGTGAAACCTTCTTGCAATCACCGCGTGTGGAGTGCCGTTAAGAAGAGTGCAGTCAGGCAGTCGCATGTTTAGTTTGTTCCATCTCTCAACATGTGGGTCTGTCAGATTGTTTGGAGGTTCCATTTGTAGTCTTGGAGCAATGTTGGCCTGGAGCGAAACATACCCCGAAATATACACCTAAACCCTAAACCCTAAACACGCCCCCGAAACAGACCCTCGTGTCATCCCAATCGTCTGGATGCAGCTAACTTTCCGTAGCATACCCGTAACATACCTGAAACATACTGCGATTTGCTCCTGGTGCCCCATTGGCCGTTTCTTTCTTGAAGCTAAACTTATCGTCTGAGAAGTTAAAACCTTCGGACTTACAGCCCGCAACCATCCCAGTGCGAGCATTACCGCTACCGCCACCACCACCACGACGACACTACTACTACCATGACGAAACGACGACTACTACTCTGCTACTACGTCGTGGCAGTGCGAAACACACCCCGAGACATACCCTGAAACATACCCGCGAAACATACCCCCATCCCAACACTCCTGGAAGGGCTCCTTTCCACTTTTCTGACAACCCCTTGTCGCTGGAAACTTCGAGCACGGTTTGTACAAGCATCTTTCCATCTAGCTTGGCAGATGGTGGCAACTGAATGCCACGGATAGCGTTGACATTATCGGATGTTGTGTTCGTGGAAGCAGCAGCTTTGTTGATGGCTGCCGACATAGATGCAATGCCGAAAACGACCTACCGGCATGACAACATCACGGGGCATATGCGATCATCAATGTATTTTTTTGCATGATGCTATCCACATGTTGTATCGATGTGTGTGCATCTATCAAATTGCTTGTGGCTCGAACGGTTTGTGAGTGCTGATCCGTTTACATTGCTAGGCTCGAAGAAAGTTGATGTTGGCTCGGCCGTGCGTGCGAGATTCTTGCATTGCTTGGGTCAGGCGTGTCAGGGCCGCCACACGTGAGTCAGCATCATGGCTGGGCAAGGTGCTTCTGCCGTAACGTGTCGTGGATGACTGAGCGTCAGCAGCCAGGCAAGGATTCGCATGCGATCGTTGCCGACAAGGCCCTTGAACACACCTTCATCCTTCAGATCTAGTCACGTAAATCACCTCCCTTGCCGCGTGCTCTTGAGAGGTTCACGCCAAGACGGGCTTTGGGGCGATTTGGGCCGTTGTTGCGAAATTGCTCATTCGACTCAGGACGGATTGAAGCCAGTTTGGACAACATGTTCCCATGTGAGAGCGTTCAACGCACTTGCAGGTACCTGGGTCTTTTCGGCTATGCCCTTGAGTGGCTCTTGGAGGCCAAGAAGCTTGAAATAGATGCAGAGCAGCTCAATGTTTATGTGGTGCAGGCCTGCCATTCCAGCAGCAAGCTGCACACCATGCTGCATCGCATCAACACCCCGAAGGCGAGCTGCCTGGACGCGAATCCACGATGTTAAGCGCAGTTGATGCCGACATTGTGTTGCTGTGCAGTTCCACCTGCTGGCCATCACCATGGTGTTGGCAGGCACGGACCCAAAGTGTGCTGCTGCGGTTCGCGTGACCGGTACTGGAGTGATGACCTCCGGGACTCCTTGCGGTGCACATGTACTCAGCATGTACTGTCGGCCATACCTGTTTGGAGCTTTATGCATGTGGTAGCGTGTTGACGCCAGGTCATGTAGCGGAGCACTTGCACCAGGAGGAGGAGCTAACTTTGATGGACTGTTTTTGCGGCCATGGTGTGCGGAAAAGACATCCAGTTCGCATTGATTCTGCTAGGAGAATCACCACCAGGAGGCTTGTGTTGTGGGCTCTGCAGCAGTCGCACACCTTATTATGACATCAGGCCCATCTGGCAAGTTTGCGTGCTGAGCTCCAGAAGTTCCTTGGTATTGAGATATTGTGCTATGCCACATGACAAGATACGGTATGTCAAGCATACATGATGCACTGTTGGCTGAGGCTACGCCACAGCGACTAGACGGACTTCTACCCGTGGATCTTGGAAGTTGTTTGTTGACCTGCGGGCGGCGCGGGTCTCACAGGGAGCTTCCCAGCAGCGGAGGCAATGACGAAAGCCCCAAAGTGGGCAAGAGACTTCGTCAGCTTAAGCTTCGGTGCGGACCCAGGCCTGTTGTGTGCTTGGTGCGGCGCCGATGTCGGCATGCTTTGCTGCTTGTGTCAAAAGGCTCAGAACTGCTTTGCCGGTCCTTGAAAGCTTTGTGAAGTATAGGGTGTTTAGAGCGTTTGCTTGGGCTTTGCCATGTCCGTATCAAGAGCCGTGCATGTGTGAGACTAGGAAAACCCTGTGCACAATTCCGAACTGCTTGTCTAGACGTAATGTTTGGGCAAGATCAGGACGGCAAAGTTTTTGCATTCGTTGTCCGTCAGGAAAGCCTTCTACACGAATCTGGCTCGTTGCAAGATGTTGTGTTGGTGCATATCATGGCCTGGTCATGTCGGTCCCATCGCCTCCGGCGCCCCAGTCGAGCCATCTCGAATTGCACATGTTGCATATTTGTGAGGGTGACCACATGAATTCCACACATGTTTGTCTGCCAGGACAAACTTCACATTGGTTTGTGTGCGACGCCTGGAGCAAGAAGTTGTCCCTGATGGTGGGGTGGTGGGCTCAGTGCATTGCTAAACACCGCGTGTGCTCTGAATCTCCACATCTCACAGCACAGGAGCTTTCTCTCTCCCATGACCGCTGCTTGCTTTCACGTGTCGACGGAGATGGCAGGCAGCGAATGGAAGGGCATGCCACTTCTTTTGTCATTCGTTCGCCTCATGACCGCATCAGGTGCGTCTGCTACTCTTGCGATAACACGCGGCCAGAGTTCAGTTTGTCCAAACCAGTGGCTGAGGAGGCACACTCGCATTTACGATCAGTGTGCACTCATGAGCTTGTGCCGACTTGGCAAAAGGTCTCCACATGTGTTTGGCAACACATACCGGCAGAGACACAGGCCGGTTGCATGCCAAACTGTTTGCGTGTCAACCGCGCTCTTGCACAATGTGTTTCTGCCATGTGTTTTCTTGAGCAGCATTTGGTTCCTTGGTGCTTGGGCGACCAGATCCAGGTTTGACATGTAAGATGGTTGACGGGCAGACATGGCACTTCAACATGTGGTTTTGGGTGCAGTCCTTCATGATTACAGCCGGTCGTCCGTGGAACGTTTGCAAGGTAGACTTGTCCAAGAACACTTTGTCAGAGTATCCTGGCCTGGACCGCAGAGCTTCTTTACTGACATTGCGACGGCCACCGAATCTGACAGTGTTGCAAAGAGTTTCTAGGCGTGGCATGCCTGGTGGCTTTGCACCGCGACAATGCGGCGTGGCTTGGCAGAGATGGTAAAGCCAACATGATCCAACCTGCAACATCCTGACAGAGCCGCCTCAGGTTGACTTGTTGCCGCTTCGTGGGCATCGAGACTGCGGATGCGGAGGTCAACACATCCACGGTGGAGGTGGGCTCATGGTAAACGTCAGCTTAAGATGTGGCTCTTCGCCATCCTGCATATATGCATGCAGCTGGAGCACGATCCCGAAGAGCTGGAGCGTGGTATGCCCCTGCTGAAGCTGATCCTCGGTCTCGCACGCAATCAGTGAAAAAGTGTCGTGTCGTTCGTGTGTGTTTGCCAAGATGGTCGGAGGAGGACCTGCAGCGTGCCTTGTGCTGGCTTTTTCACAAGCAAACGAGGCGGCTAAGCGTTTTGAGCAGGAGGTTTTCGGAGAGAGGAGCAGCTCGAATACGGTCTGGAAGCACTCCGTACCCTTGGTCGGATCCTGACCCTGGGGTGGAGATCTTTGTTGTGCATCCTCTTTGCCTCTGTTGTTTCGTGTCCTAAGTTTCTGCTCCTACGGTTGCTTCCAGCGTGCCGTGAACACCTCGCAGCAGCTGCAGCGGCTCTGGCGGCTGAGGCTGTGGCGTCATTGTCTGCATGTGCCACTTATTCTTGCATGTGCGGTGATGGCTTTGCCTGCATCTGTGGTCGGCTTTCGATAAGATTTCCCACGAAATAAGCCAGCGCGCCGATCTTTCATTGGTGGCCCGGGCTCAGGAGGCAGATGCGCTTGACGCAGGCGCGGTGGGAGGCGACTTGGGCAGTGCAGGACTCTGGAAAGTGAAGGTGCTAAGGGAGTGGACACTGCAGCTGAATGGCCTTCGCCTTAGACCGTGAGAGTCCAGGTTACAGTTTGTGTGTTCGCACGCTTTCAGGTACGAAGGCGAGGAGTCGGCAATAAAGACATGCAAGAATCTGCATGTGCTTCCCCAAGCTTCTGCAATCACCACACACACACACACGCACACATACATTTTATTTTGTTTTGCAAGCCCACCCGAATGTGTAACTGCAAGGTCCGAATCAGTGTCGCAACGGCGCAAACGCTTGTTCTGATCCTCGATGATGCTGTTGCCACCGTGGGTTCCTTGTCTGAGTTTGTGTTGATGTTTTCCAAACCCGAGTGTATCGAGGTGCTGAGTTTCAGATGGAAAGGCGGGGTTGAAGTTGACTCTCGCTGACACATGGTCTGAGCGATGGTAGCAAATCTCGCCTCCTGCCCTTGTGTTCAGGTGTGTTTGCAACCCACTGTTTCTACATGCAGCGCTTATGTCTCGCCCTGAACATCACCGCCTTCGGTTGCGTTTGTTGTGTGATTTTCATATGTAGATGCTGGCAGGTCCATCACCCCATACAGATCAGAGGCTAGATGGCATTGAATTGGCACTGCAGCTTTCATTCTGCTTGTCAGTCACAGGCGGGCATTGACTCGATTCTCCGATGTTCGCACGTGTTCCTGGCCCGGTGACACGCAGACGAAACCGCAGACAATCAAGGCATTCAAAGTTGCTGAAGGTCGCGACTGGATTTTCGCAGTGACGCCTCAGCCATCAGTACGCTTGCTGCCAGGAGCTTGATATCTCTTGACAGGCAACTTGCAAGTAACGTAACTGCTTCGAAATTTGGTCTGCTGCAACATGCAGCTACATCATTTGCGCACTGTCCTCGCTTTCTGCTCAAGACCCAACACCACGTTTACTTGACGATCTCGCAATGTGAGCCATCGCTGTCGACTGCTCAAATGCACGATCAGCCGGTACCTTAATTGGCAAGCGCGAAGCACCAAGCCAAAGCCGAGAACACAGCACCGCTGATCCTGCAGCAATGGCCTCGCAAAGACTTCAAGCAGAGAGCCTTTCTTTGGGGTCCGGGAGCTCTTGTCAAATAGATTCAAAGTTTCTCAGGAGCCCCTGCTGCATCGGAATCTCTTGGAAAAGCCTCCGCCCGTTGCAGGGTCGGCGTAACAGCTGAGTATATGCTAGCAGCTAGCAGCTCAGGAAAGCGTCCACGCAGTGCTCAGGGTCGACGGAGGCCAACACGAAGAGCTTGTGCCCAGATCCCTCTGTGGTTGCTTTCGTTTCAGCTTGGCACAGCATGTGGCGGGCAGCTCGTTGCTGTTGTCGAGACGTGGTTCTTAGGGCAAGTTTTGGCAAAGTAGATCGGGAGGCTCCGAGGCTCTTGGCAAAGTTCATGATGAAAGTCTACGCTGACTGTGCAAACGAAGATGATGGGTGTTGCTGTTGATGATGATTCTGATGGAAGTGGGGGTGGTGACTCAGTCCAGATCACTGTGTCCTGCAGCTTTTCCAGATCTCGGAGTGAAGTTCAAGCCTGAAGGTCATAGAAGGAGCCCAAAATGGCAGCACATGTCCTGATCCACAAAGATGATATTATTATGGAAGGCTTCCTGGTGAAACAGTCGAAGCACTTGAAGGAATGGCGCCAGAGGTGGTTCGTTCTGACGCCACAGTACCTTTGCAGTTTCAAGACAAAGGGTGATTACAGAAGTCCGACCGAGTCTATCCGATTGTCAGAATGCTTCACGGTTCGATCAGCTGATGATCAGATTGGCAAAGAGAACTCCTTCTGTGTTCAGTCAGTGGAGAGATCCTTCTTATTGATTGCGCCGAAACGAGATGAGAAAGAGCTTTGGATCTCTCGCATCGGGCGGCTCATGGTTCGTCGAGCTGTCATGGTAGACCAGGACTTCGAGTGATGGTAGCGGTCATAGCTGCATAAGCAAGTTTTGTTTCGGCCTCCCCCAGCTGCTAAGGAGCGTTTGGGGTTGTCGTTTCGGTAAGCCACCTGTATAGCGAAGAGTTCAGGCACAGTCCAAGCACGGCGGTAGCACGATTGTACAAAGCGGCATGCCGCCTTCTTTTTGCTGAAAAAGTTGTTTCAGGAAGTTACCCCAATCCACATTGAAGCCGGATAGCAGTCTGCAGCACCGAGAGACCGAGAGCTGCTCGGACTCAGTAGAATCTGTTGGTTTTGGCCAGGCGCTCGATTCTGAGATGACTGTCCAGGCGCGACAAGTCCGGGGCAGAGTTGGTCTTTCCAGGATTCAGGCAGCCTGTGTCTTCCTCATTAACACTCCACTTTTGTCTTTGTGTCCTGCTCCCTCACAGTTACTTGAAGTTGGCATGTGAGCCTCTGGCGATCGGATAATGGGGCATCATTAGAAGAAGAGCAAATGGGGTACAATTGATGATGTCTTCAGTAAGTTCCTGAATCAGGAGCGATGTTTTTTTCGGTTGTTTGTAGTACAGACAGCGGTTCATGTGGGGCCTGATCACAATGCGCCAAACAAGCTTGCTTTTGCAGAATCCCATTGTCAACAAATCCTGCCATATCTAGTGGTTTTCATGAGCCCATGTGCATCCTCATTCCAGGTGATTTCGGGCACGAATTCAGACCTACATTGCCAAGTCTCGAGAAACTAATCCTTTACCGAACCCACCATGTTCTTGGAGACCGATGCCGTGAAGTTCCTTCTCAACCTGCCGCTCCGTGCATGTCTGGTTTGTGCGCAGCGCGAAAGCCGTGCTTCCCTGAAGGTGGTGAGAGGAGAGGTGCAAGGCCTCGTGTACGAGTGGGGCATCCAGGCGGGAGGTGCTCTAGTCACCGCGCAGAGTAGATCGAAGGTAAGATGTGCTCATAGAATTTGTGCCTGTTGTGCATTGTTGTGCAGAAGATGCATGCGCGAGGACAGTTGGCAGCCCATTCACTTTACGAAGGCGCTGTCTAATCCTGTCAGGTTTTTCAGAGTTGCGTGATTCATGAACATCTTGGTGTGCTGAAGGCCAAGCTTCAGGTACTTGGCTACACGGACATCACGGTCGAGAAGCTTTCCCGCAACAGGATCACTCGTTCGCCGATGTTTTTGCTGCACGGGTCCTGTTTCGGGGTGCACGGTCTGGGTGGGAATCCAAGTTTGTTCAGCTTCACAGCATTTTCATCATTCTGTCTCTGCTTTTGCTTGGAGTGACCGCTGCAGCTCAGAAGCCTTGTCAAGCTTCGGTTTAACTAATCCGGGTGGCGACCGGGACAGTAGACTCAGTAGACGTTTGCTTTTCCGCTCCTCCCAGACTGGGGAAGCAAGTAAACAAGGCAACGGTCTGTGCTCCACGGGATCGCCACGTCAACTGCGACCCGACAATTCAAACGTCAGCTGGCATAGCGGCATATCCTGAGATGGGGTGTCGGTAATCCCTTCACACATTTGTTGCCTCCCCTTGTCGGGGCTGCAGCCGTTTTGTGCGCTTAGTCGCCGTGCGACCATCATGCACTCGTTCTGGCTTTGAACCCTTTTCTTGTTGTACTGCAGTAGGAACTTCTTCTGAAGTGGCAGGACTCGTTTGAAGCTGCAGCCGACGGTACTGCAGTTGTCAACGGGTTCACAGGCTTGGAACACAGAGGCCAGATGTCCGGGACAGTTCGTGCAGCCGTTTTGTGCCGGACGACACATATCATCTTGAAAACCACAGTCTAAAATTCTGCTGACTTCGAGTTTCACTGGCGGCAGTTCTGTTCCAATTTTACTGTATGATCCCCGACTGCGTCAAAGATTGCACACACATTCGTTGAGGGCATGTCGCAAACTGCGCTGACGGCATGTGCGGATTCATGTTGCCATCAGGCCAGCAGGCGCGGCATCACAACTTGGCATTCTGGTCCCCGGATGGCCAGCAAACTCCTGCCGGAAGGCGTTCAGGACCGAGGGAGGCCGAGAGGCCGAAGGAGGCCGAAGGAGGCCGAAGGCAGTGGAGCCGCCGCTTTGAGGATGTGGATGACCTGGTAACGGTGCATGAGCTGGTCTTGAAGCACAGCCTTGACAAGGTGGGTTTAGGGAACGGCCAGAGCGCTCGCGGTCGCAAGCGCTCTCGGGCCGTTGCGGCGCTCCGCAGGCCCTGCTGGCCCTGATGCTTGGGGAGGGAGGGGCTTGTGGGATCAAGCCGAGCGGGCTACTGTACTAGCAGGTTCAGAAAGGGTTTGGCATCGATGAGTTTGACTTTCCACGTCTGCCGCTGAATCTTGCAATGATGTCTGTATCCGATGCAAGTTGCGCGGTTTGAGACCGGCCGCCGACTCTGGACATGTTGCAACGAGAAAGCTGAATTTCGGGGTGGATCCGGTTGCAGAGAGAGTCTGTGCATGGTGAAACGACGCCTGATCACTCGGATTGCGCTGGACACTGGGCCGATGCGCTTGACGCAGGCCTGACAACAGCCCTTGTGTTGGTGGATTTGTGTTGCGGTGAGGTCCAAGCTGTGCTAAGGGCTCCGAAGAGACTGTCTGAGCCCGCTGAGGGCGAAGGTCCCAAGAGGAGGCGCACGAATTGACGTAGAAGTGTCACGTGCCAGTTGCGATAAAAAGACACGAGCTCACATGCTGCAGTGCTGCTGCACTTGTTCGCAATAGATCCCGTTGTGCCGCACTGGGCATGCACTTGCCTGGAACTCAGGATGTGGCACACGTCTGGTGTGGCTTTCCATGCGATACTTTTGGGGGAGTATCTTCCGGAGGAGTCCACCTAGCAGGGCCTCGCAATGAAGTGTTGGAATACTTTAGTACTATCGCCTTGCTGGTGCCTGATGCAGGAAATCAACTTTGTCACGCTTGCGGTTGCCCGAGACCTGTCACTTCCCTACTGTGCTGGGCATACTCTTTACTTCTGTTCCGGCGGCTTCATGCAGGCTTGCAGTTGCGCTTTGTGATGATCGCTGGCAGCTCACAGCTGATCGACTTCTGTTTGCTGCACTTCCACGGTCGCTACAGTTCCGAATTGCGAGGCCACAGAATATGGGTGATTTCCTTGGATCGCTACTTTGTCCGATGCTGAGATCAGACAGCTCTGTTGAAAATTGCCGTGTGTGACAGCTTCTGCTGCTTGTGTGCGCTGGCATTGCAATACTTGCAAGTACTTGCCAACACGTTGGTCATCATGAAAGCGTGTGGGAATCCTGCAAGTGCGGGCGTGGCGGCCGAGAAGTGGACACGAAGAGCTCGGAAGCTTGCAAGGGCCAGAAATCGGATCTAGGAAAGAATGACTACGACGCACATATCCCAAGGTTGGTGGAGCCTTGGGTGGCCCTGCCCATGCATTGTTGACTGGGCACCCGGAATGCACAGTTGACTGCATCCCGCCCCAAAACCAAACCAAACCGTTGCGCCCCAGCAGGTCAGGTCATCATGGCCATGGAAAGCCTTTGCTCAACTCATGTGTCAAATTTCATGATGACATGTGCTCCGGTGGTTACTTGCTTGTCGTTGTTGCAGCAAGCCTAGCAAAAGCTCATGGCATGTTGCATGCTCGATAGTAGATCAGCGGAGCATCGGCTGTCTCGGCGCTGCGAGTGCCCAGCCTCTCAAGCACTGGAGCTGGCAGTTGAGTCCTGTGCTCCTCAGAACGAGTAGCCGACTCAGGAAGCCTGTCCCAGAGGTTTGGACTGGGACCTGTTGAAGGCACGTAGCGGGAAGGGAGCTTTTTTTCCACTCGCCTCACACTTTGTCAGCAGTGCAAGGAGCGACATCGCTGCACCGAAGGCGTCGGCGTGATGGGGCAGACAAGCAAGCTCTACCAGGCAGCTGAAGGTCAGACCTTGGCTGTCTTACGCTTCCCGCTTTGAAGGAGCTGACCGTGTTTCCAGAGGCCTTTGGCTTGCGACAGGCGACACAGAGGGAAGAAGATGGGATGTGGGCTGCGGGAGCCTAGCCCCTAGGAAGTGCGACTGGTGGAGCCCTCTGCGTCGCTGGTTGGGCCGGGGGGCCTCGAAAGCGGGGCCTCGCTTTGGCCTAGCTCGGCGCTTAGTGGCGCCCTCCCAGGCGACAGGCATATGCGACGGCTTCAGTCATGGACTGCCTGGTCGAGGGCGTCCCAACATACGGTGAGCCTGTTCGGATGCCATGTGTGAGAGAGATCTTCCGCTTCCTGCCGCGCAGGCATCTCCTTGCCTGGAGGAGCATATGGCATTGGCTCTTGCCTTGTGACTCCAAGAGCATCTGCAGACTCCGAGCTCGCAGAGCCTTGCAGGTGATCATTTTCTCGACAACTCGGATCCTCGAGGACGGAATCGTCAAGGTGCTGTTTCTTGTGTTAGCACCTGCCAGACTCGGCAGGTGCCGAGGACAGTGATCGGATGCTCGGCATGGCTGGAAGCTTGGGCTCCCTGGGCCGGAGGCTTTGATGCAGTGTGTGCACACATGCAGGCTGCTGGCAGCAGCAGCTTCAGCCGCGATGCGGGAGGCAGCGGAGTGATGCGCAGGTGGAGCAGGCAAGCATGTGTGAGAGCTGGAACAGGTCTGTCTCAAGACGGGGGAGTGACGCGATGCATGTCTTCAGCTCGGCAGCTATGGTGTTCACTTGATGTGCCTCGTGACAAGCCTGTTTCCTCTGCAGGCCATTTGCATGGCATGAGCGCATCTTACAGACTCGTGATGAGTGGCTGGAGGTCGACAGGCCACGGCCCGACACTCAGAGCCTTGAAGGCAGAGGGCAGGGTCCGAAAATGTTCAAACCATTTTCTCATGCAGGGCCTTCCTTCCAATCGGCCGTGCTTCGACGGCAGAGTGGCACTCAGAGCAGTCTGCAGGTGAGCCCAGTCTTGGGGCGCAGTTTTGCTGTGATTCTGAGGCGAAGGCTGCGGCGGGGTCTAGTGCCTGGTGACCAGCTTCATCCGAGACTTTGCTAGCATGTTCGAGTGGTGAGGCCCGTGATGCCAAAGCATGTCCTCACTGGATTCAGCGTTCCAGCACAGCACCGCTGATTCCTGAGATCAGAGTCCTTCGTATGTTTGTTTAAAAGCTATGCTGTCTGTTTAAGGACTAGGTGACGATGACCTGAATTACAATCTGTGTTCTGTGCTCAGAAACAGGCTTTGCGCAAGACACAGCCTCAAGAGAGCATTCGGATTCTGATCGGACTGACCCCTCTACCTATCAGGTGCTGCAGTACATCGTCATGCCCAGCGCGAATATCAGAATCGCCGTGCTGGCGGTGTTGGGGATTGTGAGTCATTCTGTAATGCGGTGCATACAATGTTTCATTCGACTGAGGGTCGGACATCTTTGAGCTTTTGAGTTTTCGACGGCTTGGAAGCAGCGCTGGGGTTGTCCCTCCTTCCCGCACAGGATAGCGACACACTCGCCAGGCCTCCCGCCCTGGCTGGTCAGCATTTCCTTGCCTCGCAGAGCGAAGCGATTCAACCCCCCGCAGTGTCTCGGTGCTTGAAGTTTATCAGCGGTAACAGCTATGGTATCGCAGTTTGCATGGAGCGGTTCATCAGCGTGTGTCTTCATGCAGCTCTCGTTGCCGGCAGTTTTGCACACCGATCTTTTGTACATCGAAGGCTCGGTTCCGTCGGCGCGGACAAGGAAGGCCGGTCTGCGCCAACGTGCGAGTCGGAAGGGCTACGAGCGGAGCTGAGAGACTGAGAGCAGCCCTGTCCCTCAGATAGTTCCGGCTCCGAGCTGGTCACGGAGGCCTGCTCCAGCTCGACCCAACACTCCGCATCTGGCTGTCTGTTCGTCAGGAGACCGAGAACGGTGATGCCAAATCTGCTGGCAGCTCTGTCGAGGCCCTGCTTTCTCCTGAGGGCTTGGACTTGTGTGTAGCGCCATGCAGGAGCTGCATCAACAAGCTTCCTTGGAGGCTCTGCGGCAGGAGCTTCAGCCACGACCCCAGTTTCGATGTCTCATTTGCATGCATTCAGATGCTGATGTTAGCCGCGAGAAACGGCCTTCCGCAGATGGAACCAGCCTCCTGAATTCATCTGCGGTGATATTTGCAAGGCATCATCCATGGGGTTGGTTTGGGTTGGGAGGGCAACTCTTTGGCAGCAGTGCATTCGAAGTCACACTTTTCAGTCCATGTGGGCTTGCAGCTCAGCGAATGCCCCTTGGCAAGTTTGCATAAGGCTGATCAGCCAACGTTTTGTGTTGCTTCTGAAGGCCTTTGTAGAGTTGCTTTCGCAGCCATGACCTATCGTAGCACCAGCTCGCTCAGGGCTGGATGTCTTGTTCGAAGTTCCCTCCTGTGTCCACAGTCGCGGAGGAGGAGCACTTGAAAGCTCAAGACTTCAGAGTAACACCGAACAAAAGGCAGTAATACAAAACAAACGTAGGTAATGAGTAAAGTAGGGGGCAGTCTGAAGGAAACATGATCTTCGGCGGTGAAATCAACATGTTTAGTGCGCAGCCATTGTGCTGAAAATGAGCGGCAGAGCTCATTTGTGGAACAGACCAGGTTTTTGGAGAGAAATTCGTTTCTCCAAGTCTAATCAAAACAGGCTAGGTTATATTTGGAGAGAAACTAGCGAATTCGCTGTTTTCTGCTAGTCTAATCAGGATAAGCTAGGTTTTTGGAGACAAACTGGGGATTCGGTGTTTTCTCCTAGTCTAATCAGAATAGACAAGGTTTTTGGTGGAGAGAATCTAGGGAATTCGGTGTTTGCTCCTAGTTTAAACGTAACAGACTAGGTTTTTAGGGAATTCAGTGTTTTCTCCTAGTCCAGTCAGAATACAGTAAGTTTTTGGAGAGATTCCAGGGAATTCGGTGTTATAGTCTAATCAGAATAGACTAGGTTTTTGGAGAGAATCTAGGGAATACGGTGTTTTTTCCTAGTCTAATCAGATAGGCTCGGTTTTTGGAGAGAAATCAGCGAATTCGGTGTTGTTTGTCTTAGTCGAATCAGAACAGACTAGGTTTTTGGAGAGAACTCGGCGGCTCCGTGTTTTCTCCAAGTCTAGTCAAAATAGGCTAGGTTATTTTTGGAGAGAAACTAGCGAATTCGCTGTTTTCTCCTAGTCTTGACAGAGCAGACTAGGTCTTTTGAGAGAATCTAGGCAATTTAGTGTTTGCCACCAATCTAACTGGAACAGACTAGGTTATTGGAGGGA